CGTATCAGCCTCTTCTTGACTGAACTATACCACAGGAACAGGATCTCGCTGTGTGGCTGCGTCTACTCGCCAGCGCTAGTCTTCGGTTGTCACAGGTACATGATCCAGTTGACGAGTCTGCATCTAAAGATGCTTTTGTCTTGCACAGTAACAAGAGGAATTTGACGATCTCAGCTGCTTATTTGTGATGACACTGAGCATACAGCTTGTTCCGCCAGGACTTCACCGTACAGACAAGGCCTAAATTCTTATTTTGTACAGAACACTGACAAAGTTGGATATTATTTACAGTCTTTTGAAATTTTTTATCAACACAGCGAGATACACGGCGAGCACTACCTACGCGCATGATGCTGGTGCTCCTGACCATCTCAAACTTCCTCACTTTTATTATTGTTCTGTGGTGTGGCATTTCTCTAGTAAACAAGATTCTGGTAAACTGGACCTTTTAAACAAACGTATTCTTCGATTTATTTTCAAGGATTTTAACTCTGAGTAGGGCCGTAGGTTAGAAAACTGTAACAGGTTATTGCGCTTCCCTCTTTAAATAAAGTTATTGTATTGTATTGTATTGTATTGTAATAATTTACTTAAAAAGGCAGGAACTGCAAACCTTAAGGACAAGCGTTTACAAAACATGATTCTTACTATTTTTAAATGTCTTCATTTTTCTGATTATCCAAGATATTTAAAAGATATGTTTCGTTTACACTCTACCAGCAATTTTTTAAGAGGACATAATATGCTCTGTTTGCCCAAACCATTGACCACTTCTTATGGTATCAATTCCTTTAGTTACTTGGCAGCAACATCTTGGAATTCTCTTCCTGACCATTACCGCACTATTTCTGATTTTACTTCTTTTCGACGACTGATATCTACTGGGAACAATAATTTACTTAAAAAGGCAGTAACTGCAAACCTTTCTACATCATGATAATTTGCAAGTTAGTTGTCTAGGTAGTTAGTTATCTTTTTTGTTATATAGAATTAACTTTTTATTATAATTATTTATTAATGTAGTTGGCTCGAAGATATTAGCACTTGAGTGCTACACTGTAAATTCGAGGGTAAATAAAGTTTATTGATTGATTGATTGATTGAAACTCTCTTAGCGACCTCACGAAAAGTAGCGCAAGAGAAGAACTTAAAACGTCTGTAAGACTGGTGCCACCTCTTTGATCGGAGTTGCTGGCTAAGTTCTCTATCTATTTCAAGGTGGCTGAGATGCGCCGCTCACGCTATTGGAGTCTGGTTTTGTTTGTCTTTCCCGTGAGTCCCATAAGATTGGTAAGAGATCAAGGAAGAGCTCGAGGACCATTAAGGTTGTTTTCAATGTGAAAGCAACTTTAATTTCAGTATGATGAAACTGTCCGAGAAGTGCCATCCGAGCAAAAAAATCGTGATCGATACGGAAAGGAAGCACTAGATCCTTGTTGCGAAGCTTACGCATAGCCTTCAGCGTAGCTTTCTTCACTGGGTAAAAGTAATCTTGAGTGGGATTGGATGAGCAACGGCCCGTTACAAAGTCATGCGATGGCTGCTTTCACTTGCTCGTAGCCTGCAGTCAGTCATCATTTACTTCTGTGGGGACAAGTTTAGCGACTCCGGAGTTGCAAATCTCAGTCTCTTCCATTGTTCAAGTGGTGAACCGGTTCGGCAGTTGCCTCGATATTTGATGGGATGTGCGGGAAATTCACATTCACATTCAGCTGAAACTGATTCTGGATCACGAAAGCACGATATAACGTTGTCTAACAAGAAATATCTCTGCATTAGGATAACGTTGAATTGGAACAACCACATATAATGCATTCTCCCGCTGTCTTGGTGCAGAGAACGAATTTCGCACCCGGAGCGAAAAGGTCTGACTATTGACTTGAGACCATGTGTGTTTTGTTATCTTCGAGTAGGACTCTATTCAACACACTATTAATCTATACGTTAATTTTGTTTACTTACACTCTTTTCTGAAACAATTATGTAAACCTCCCAAGTTTTTCCAGTTATAATCTAAAGTGCAAACTGCCGGCCTTATTGTGACCAATACTGACAGGCGATGTGTATCCACATGTGACGTCAGGTAGTTATAATTTAAACACTAGAATAAACGGAAATCATGTTTTTAGTTCCAATATTGTTTTATATTTAAGTTTAAAACTCGATTTGTTAACGTTAAAAGAATGTAACCAACTTTTGTAGCCTTCCCCGAAATCCAAGATGGCGGCCAAAAGGAGGTTATGAGGGGCCAATTTAAATTTCGATTTTCAGAGTGAAAGCTACCGTTTTATCCTTGCTATCATGCATTTTTGTGATGTTTAATAGTCAAAGATTACGATGTGACATGTTTCGGCTGTTCTCCTCGAGTGGGCCATAAACCCAAATTTTCGGCTCTCAGCTGATAGACTAATCCTACATGTAATAGATCTTTTTACCGATACGGCGGCCATATTGAATTAATTCGATTTAGGAGTATTATAGGATGCCCAGGGGGCATGAGCACATTTCTTTTGTATTTTCGAGAGCTTTTCGGGACATTTTTTCTCAAAGTTTTCTTAGAATAAGATTGTAATGGGAAAAAAGATCCTTGTGCCGTGTTTGTATGTAATAATGGTCGCCTTTTTCCAGAGAAATATACAGTGAAAGACCATATTCTAATACTAAACTAGAAAAAGGCGATCATTATGACATCCAAACACGGCACAAGGATTTTTTTCCCATTACAATCTTATTCTAAGAAAACTTTTTAAAAAAATGTCCTGAAAAGCGCTCGAAAAAACAAACGAAATGTGCTCATGCCCCCTGGGCATCCTATAATACTCCTTAAATGGAATTAATTCAATATGGCCGCCGAATCGGTAAAAAGGTCTATTCTCAACGTTTTCTTTGATTTCGCCGCACTTGGAGATTTAACCTTAACGGGATATTGAGGGGTAAGTAGAGGTGTGCTTTCTTAGATTGACAAAAAACACATTTTTTGCCTATTGCTGCAAACACCCGCTCTAAACTTTACTGGTGGCCGTTGGAATCAATTTAGTGTACAAGAAAATCGCATCACATTGAGTTTCGCAAGTATACTTTTTTAGCTTAATGTGTGGTAACTCTGGGATGTCATCGTCAGGTGTTTGTGGTTTGCTGAGCTATTGACATTGTCGTATTTGTGATCAATGTTTCATTCAGATGGAGAGTACGAAGATTTTGAGAAACAAAATTTGTTTTCGCACATTCCGTTGATCGTCCGATTAGTATGAATTTTATTAAAATATAAACAAAACATGACACGACGGTCAGAATTTTTTAGGCCAATTCAATGATGATTGTATACATGATATGTTAAATTTGATTTGTTTTGCACGCATGGTACGTTCCACGTCCTTTCGTGCTATTAGTGCTAAAAGTGACTTACTTGGTGAAGGACTGGGAAAATGTTTCTCACACAACTAGAAAATCTACTTACCCTCAATATTCCGTAAAGCTGAAATCTGCAAGTGCGACGAAGTCAAAGAAAACGTTGAGAATTGCTATTAGAATGGAGCGCGCGACCGAAATATTTGTGTGATTCTTGGTAACCGCTGTAAGATTTCCTTGCCTACTCGTCACTCAAAATGGCGCCAAGAACCGTAAATAGGTCAATTGTAGCCCATAGTAGCTCATTGTTGCTCATTGTAGGTCATTCCTTGTTTTAGTAACTACGCATCTAAAATTTGCATATTTTAGCCGCTAACGGTCGTCCAGGAATGCAATGCTGGGAATGGCAGTAAAATAAACAATTTCCTCATTCTAACTGCAATTTCGTTATTAGGATGGATAGTAGTACTGATGATAAAAATATAACGGAAAAGTTTTGTCACGTCCGAAATCGAGTGGAACGCTTTTGGGAAGACTGCCTTAATGGTTCAAACGCTAGTACGTTCGATCATTTAAATATTTTTTTTCAATATTCACAGTTCTATTGTGCGCATGAATTAAACATTTCGTTGGTTGAAATTACGATGGTTTAAAGCCAAACTAGAACTTAAGGTTTTTCTAGAAAGAGAATTAAGCCGAGCAACACTGACCCTGATGTTGAATAAACAAATTTCCTGAGCCTAGTAACAAAAGAGTGGATTTTGCTAAAATGGACAAAGGATCTCGGGAATGAGTAATTTAAAACGGGAAAATTAATCGTTTCTTATTTAGAAAGAAGATTTAAAAGATCTTAACTCTAGCAATTCTTAGACTGCGAGCAATCTCTTATTTTTCCTTGCAAAGTTACTGCACGCGAAACCTAAGCACGCGAGGGGCAAATTAAGCCGCGAGCCGCAAGAAATGAGGGCGTAAGCCCGAGAAGAAAAAATAAGAGACCGTCTTTTCTCGTCTCGTCTTGTCTCAATCCCTTACTGTAATAACAACGTCGTGGTTTGCAATCACGCTGGATGAGATAAGAACCAGACGAATATTAAGAGAAAACGCGGACTGCAAGCAGTCTAAGCAATTCTGGGAACGATTAATCACAGTTCCGAGACCTCGCAATCTTGAGCGGCTTGTGTTTAAACTCGAGGTACCCACTCGGAACCGCTACTCGTTTCATGTAATCAAAGTTTAAAATAATCGCTTTTAGGGGTCAAAAAAGGTTGGGCCACGCCCAGATTGGTCTCCTTTAGGGGTGTAATTTAAAATTTCCGACGACAGGAGCCCATCAAGTGGAGCCTCCATCCCCCATACAAGCCCTTGGAGCCAACCCTTTCCCGAGTAGATTTATAATTAGAACGGCTCCCAGGGGAGACTTCGCGCGCCGACGGTGGGAAGAGCCAATCAAAATGACACTGCTATTGTACTTTATCAAACAACAGGAAATTCGGTGTTGACAGGCCAAACACAATCATAAGCTAGTGAAACGTGACTTAAGCGTTTTCATCCCTCAGAGATTTTCTTTCTTTTCTTTCCGGCCGGTAGATTATACTGTGGAGAGTTTTAAACTCTGACTATGTTAATCTTAATTTTGGCTGCTTGTCTCACATTAAGAGACCATGAAGCTGGTCTGTTAGATGCATAATGATTAACTACTACCTGGCAGTCTGTAGTTCTGACAGGATTCGTTTTCTTTAGCCAATTTTTTTAAGCGTTAAGGTTATTATTTTGGCTAAATGACTCAATATTAATCAAATTTCTAGTTTTTCGAGGTTCCGAAATCTGTTTATCTGAAAAAATACTTGTAGTCCTTGTGGTTGTTTTGTCCGTCAGCTAGAGTGATGATACCCTGCTATGTTTTGTAACGCCGGGCCCAGCCATTGTTTTCTCACAAAAAAGTGATCTACAGATGCGAATTCGACAGAAAGAATTGAGCCCAAACTTCTACATTAACTGCTGAGAGTTGTCCTGTCAGTCAATCATAATTCTTTTGTCGCAGATACAATACATTTTGTTTTTCTTGAGACAAGTGGGTCTTTGGACTGGAGCGCGATGTCACAAATTCCTCCGTTAACAAATTACTTTTGAGTTAGCTTCACGGTCGAGCAACTGTTCTCTTCTGTTCAACTTTCCAAGTGCCAGTTTTTATCAGATAACTCTCATGGTGATGCGAGTCAGTTGTAGAGGAAGACTGCAATTTCTCAAATTTCGGAAATAAAGCATTCCTCGTTAGTTACTACCTAGGTCATCGCGCGGTGCTTAATTGGCGAAATCCACTCCACGGTGATGACAAAAATCAAATCATGATCCTGGCACTTTTTCAGCGCTGATCATCGAAAAGCTCCGAATCGTCTACAGAACGCTTAATCGTCGACTCTATTCGAAGTGCATGCTTACATGTTGAATGTATGACGACAAATAAAAACACTCGCAAAGATAACCTTTCAGTGATCCTCAGTTCGCTGCCTTTGTCCCATCGTTTCATGCTCAGTCTCAGTCGGGTAATTCATTAACTTTTATTTCATGATACCCAGATCCCAGCGGCTGTAAAATCATAAAAATGGATGTGTAGTAAAAAGGAAAACGGTCGAAGGATGGGCTTCTGAGTTCGACTTCATCCAACTTCATTTTTTTCACGGTGACATACGAGACTCACGGAAATATTACACTTTTCGCGGAAAACAAGCCGTTCTATTTATAAATCTACTCGGGAAAGGGTTGACTCAAGAAATTAATGGAGATGGAGGCTCCATTTGATGGGCTCCTGCCGACGAGCATCCCCGCCCCTTTCATATGGGAGTCCCCCTTCCCCCCGGGCTCGAAACAAACCGAACTGTGTCGATCAATTAAATTTAGTCTAACAGGGTTCGGTAATCGAACACTGTCTCTTAAAAAAAGACACATTCACGCAATCAAATACGTTTTAACTTTCATTGTGAAAGCCAGTGTGGATGGCAATAACAAAGTCACCTCTCCACCACAGAGAGGGATGAAGGATTTTGAGGGCTGAAATCTTTTTGTTAACGAAATAGAGAGGATGGTAAAAATTTCGGAAGGAAGAGAAATGGAATGCCAAATCTTTTTCATTGCTGCTTAAAATATTGAGTATTTGTGAAATTACTGACAATGGAGAGCCCTTCAGTCCAAGGTTTTTACAAGTCTTTGAGTACTATTAGTTCAATTTACTTCCAGTTCATCAACTGTCAATATTTTCATTAAATATTTTTACGTTGAGAATTAAAGTAAGCAGCTCAATTTACATCATCATGACCAACTCACATCATTATCGTCACCATCGTGATTTATCAAATCGATAGCGCTTATCCAACGTCTAAATCTGACATTAGACCCTGAAAGTTATAATTAAGAAAGGCATAAAAGATACATTTTTTCATTGATCTTAATAACTGTTGCCATTTCAGCACTGGATATCTATCTACTGATCAACTGGTATTCGCTTTTCTTGTAAATACGCATGGCTTCCCTAGAAGACGCAGAAGAAGTGTTACGATCGACAAAGTCAAAATCTAATTTTCAGCGCTTGACACGGCTTCTAATGCGCGGTGGGGCAGTGCTTTTAATAGAGATATTCGACTCCATTCACAGCCCTGCCAATCTTCCCACAACGCTTAGTGACCCTTCAGTAGAAAGGACACTGAGAACAGCAAGGCTTACCCGTCCCGACTGGAATTGTTTGTACCCTTCCCCAGGGGTATACGGCAAGTCGAGTGATTTTGACATCAGTTTAACCTTCAGATTGTTACGAACAATATGCAAATTGAAGCCTCCCCCCACAGGATGGGACAGCCTACCAAACGACGCAGAACACAGCCTTGAAGCAGACCTGGTAAGAATAAAATATTATCGCAATGAAGTTTATGGTCACAGCAGGAATTTGGAAATATCAGATGATCAGTTTCTTGACCTCTGGGAAAAAATCAGTAAGGCGCTGTTGAGGATTGCAGCAAAACTCAGCCTTGAAAAACAAAGCAGATTGAAAGGTACCATTGAGAAATTCCTTAATGATCCCTTGACGCCAGAGGAAGAAAGATACGCCGACGAACTAGAGCAGTGGTACGAAAAAGATATCGACAACAAAAAAGTGTTACAAGAACTTGTTCAGGAAGTCAGAGGAATGAAAGAAGACTTTAGGGGTCAGCAAGTAGGTCAGTATTACTGGTTGCTTGTGGTCGGTTACGTTAAATATTCCATTAAAATTTCCATTTTTCATTTTTTTTCATTTTGTTCATGATTAGAGGAATTTTTTGCGCAGCTAAAAGAGCTCAGTTGCGCACAGACAGTTTTGTCTGAGGACTGCGAAGATTATCTCGGCAGGACGGATGACGATGAAGCGTTTATTTGTCCCTTTCTGGGTGATTGCTGACACAAAGTGCCTGATTGATGTACGGCTGAAAATGAAATTGTATCATTTCCGCGGTACAGTTTTCCCCAAATGTTGTGCAAGTATCGAATTGCCCTAGTTATCAACTGTTGTATCTTTTTTCCAACAGCAACACTACGCGTTGTGAACACCTTCGAAAGGATCGCCCAGTTTGGATTAGTGGTAGCCCCTAATGAAATGCAAGACAATCAGCAGGAGTTTCCAGCAGAGGTAGACATGTGGAACGTTATCATGTCTTTCAAAGACTCTTTCAGAGTACTTTTTAGATATGTAAGAAACAAACTGAATGCCACTGTTGAAGACATTGAACTAGGAAGTTTATCGATAACTGTTAGATGTAGTTCGCTGAAGATACTAGAAGGATTGTGGGAAGATTATATCAGTGGTCACCTTAATCAAGTGGTTCAAGAAGCGCTGGTGACACATGAGGTCCTAGAAATCCTTGGCCTCGATGACTTGAAGCTGAAAGTGTTCATTTCTGAGGAGGAATATGAGAAAGGAAAAAAGGTCTTTGCGGATAATTCAGGTGAGCGTGGTGATTTTCTGTATTTTTTTACTACTCGCTTGCTGTCATTAAAGCTCAGTTAAAAACAATAACCGCGGAAAGGAAAGAAAAAAGAAATAGATCAAGACGATTTTGATGGAAATGAAGGTTATGGCGCATTTTGGAGAAGTAGGGGATCGCAAATTGAACCCGCAGCCGAACAAATTCCGTCTGTTTTACTCGGATATTTTTTCTATTGTCTTAGTGCATTACAAAAACCAGGCGACTTCCCTTTGTGATAATCTGTAAGGTGTTCTTGCAATATAATCTTCTCATTTACTTTTTTTCCAATCTGCCGTATATGCTTTATTGAAATTATTCACGATAAATAGACTACCAGTAGTCCCCATTTTTCCTCAGGGATAGTAGAGCGAGCGAAACGCAAGCGCGCGTGAAGATCACCCCACGCGAGGAAAGCGTGACGCGGCGGGGAGAGAGAAAAATGAGGGACTACAAACAAAGCCCAAGCTTTCGACCTTTCACGGCCGACTGATTTTGGAGTGTGAAGTTCGCATCTCCTTCCAAATCAATTAAGCGCATCCAATGGGATTCCTTCTCTCATTGAGCTCAGTCGTTGCTCTTGTCATCAGTAAACTGCGGGGGATATTTATTGCAAGTAAAAGAAAACCCAGATACTAATTTTCTTTGCGGCTGTTTCGCGTGAAGAACTTGATAGTGTAAAAGGGGGGTCGGTAGGTAACACACGACTTTTTCTCTCTCCCCACCGCGTCTCGCTTTCCTCGCGTGGGGTGATTTTCACGCGCGCTCGCGTTTCGCTCGCTCTACTATCCCTGAGGAAAAATGGGGACTACTCGTAGTTCAGCGATAAATGGTGTTTACATAAAAGCGTTGGGTAAATTGAAAATAGCTTAATTATAACACTGTAATACCCTGGCTAAATAAGTGGCCCTTAGTGTCTAATAAATACAAGTAAACAATATAATGCAATGGAAAATTTCCCGGCAAGAAGTGCGTAAAATCACTCTTCTTGAAGTACACTAAATTCTGATAGAAGCTACAAAGGAAAATGCATTCCGGTTCGGCAGAAAGACTTCTAATGCGGCTAATTTGTAATTGAGTTCTTTAATTTGTTGAACCGAAATCTTGTTGACGTGCAGGAATCCATTTGATATGAGAATATGTCACTTCCAAGCAAATGAGCCGTAAAAAGTTGATTACTTCTACAAAGCTCCCCTGCTGATGTTCGACTATTGAATAGGCGAACATCAGAAGGGGTCTGCGATTTCAGATCCCCATGAATCTCGTCATCTTGTCAATTTTGCTGAACGATTGACGTCATCAGTTCACATATCGCATCATCATATCGCAAAATTCTTCCAAATTTGGTCGACAGTAGCTGGTTATGATGAATTATGCGTGGGATTTTAGTCAATAAGAAACGGAGAAATATTTTGAATGAATAATAATGCCTTTTTAGGGAGTGAAATAATGGAATAATGAAACTTTTTGACAAGGATTAAAGGGATCATAAACCCCCAGTTATTCGTCTTCACTGCCTGAGTGATGGTTTCATTCGTGCAGCTATGAAGCTATCTCCATTCTGTTCGCTGTAAGTCTGTAACGCATTAACGGAAACAAACTTAAGTGTTTGATGCTCCCAACTACGCGTGAACGGAGGTTTTCCTAAAGAGCCCCCAGAATGGATTAGTGCAAATACGGATGAATATGGGTATCGTGTGAACGAATAGGTTTGCATGCACTTAAAGACGGTCTCGTGTGGACATAGCTTTAAATTCTTTGTACGCACGGCTGACTTAAACTGTCTGGGAGTCTCTTTATAGCAATGTCCCATGAATTCCTTTTCTTTCAAGAAAAATATTATGGTATTTTGAATACTAGTGAACGAAGATGATGAAGGATTTAATCTCATTCAGCCCACGCTGATCCAGCAGTTGAAGATCATTCTGGATCAGTATCCTGACGATGGACAGATTTTGAAGGTAAGAAATGTGGAAGGCTTAAGGAAACCTCGGTATCTGTTCAAAGAGAGGTACTCCTTTTAACCTTCTAGTATTTTCGTTTTCTGTGTAATATCAGAAGTTGGGACAATCTAAAAAGGAGAACTTGAACATTGGGCTTGATGAGACGCTATTTGAAGAGTTTGGATAAGATATGACGAGAGGCAATGAGATGGGATGAAATGATAAAAGATGAGATGAAGTGAAGTGAAACGGATGGGATATAGGATGATTTTGCCAAGGAGAGAAAGACATAAGGAAAATGAGATGCGATTAGATGATGTAGCCTGCAGTGCGGGCGTATTTGGGTGGGCGAAACCTTGTTCGTGTTCGTATTGTTGTGGTCACCATCTTTGATTCTATGACAGTGGAAGATTGGGGAGAGTAGAAATAGTAACCCTTGGGGTAGGTGCTCCCTTTGAGTCGCCCCATTTCCTCCTCTCTTCGGGAAGTTTCAACATGGCGCTTTCGCGAGCAAAAACATTTGCGCGCCCGAAGAAAACGCCTGCACTGCAAGCTACATTGGATGATTTACTAAGTGAGACGAGATAAGATTAATCAATCCGTAAAAAAAGAAACAAATTAAAATTAGTAGTAATGTCTAACTAGATGTTATAAGCTGAAGTAAGTACTGTGTATCCGGAGAGTTAATGTGTGATACATTAGAAGGAGTGGCTTCGTTATAAAGATGCTCATTGAAAAATTGAGCCGTTTAAACTCCTCTTTTTTTAATTGTATTTGTGTATTAGGAGCTCATCCAAAATGCCGAGGATGCAAGAGCAACTCAAGTGAAATTCCTCCATGACCTACACAGCTATGGAACAGAGAAACTGCATAGTGAAGGACTTGCCCAGTTCCAGGTAATCTGTGAATGTTGTCGTAAACTCTCAGAAGGAATGACTTTTTGTCTTTTCGTTTCACTCCTTCTGTAAGAATGATTTTTATCAGTCTAGGGGTTTCGCATAATCCCCCTCCCCTTTATTAGTTTTCTAACACTCCGTCCCTTACCGAATAGTTTACCCACAGGTCACAGGTCAGTATTGTCTACAAAATGTCTTCCAGCTTTATGGTCTATATTTAAAAAGATATAATCCTCATAAAATTTGACAGCCGTACTATATTTTCCGCACATTCTACTTGGTATTGCATTTTCATTCCATTTAGTGAGCAGTTCCTTAGGGCTGGATATTGTGTGAAGGTGCTGCGAGTCAGATTTGAGCACCCGAAAGAGTGGCAAATCTTAGGCATATTGCGATATGGGCAGCAAGCCCACTCTCCTATTCGACGATATATAAAAGAGACTCCTCAAGTCAAAACGTCGGCTCTAGGTTGTGTTTTTCTATGCATGGTGTTCTACATTTACAGCTTTAATCTATAGCGGTTTCCCATTACATACATTAGACGTTTCTTACATCATTTTAATTAATGTCCACCAGGGCCCAGCACTCTACGCTTACAACAACGCCGAGTTCACCAAAGAGGACTGGAAAGGTATCAGGATGCTCTGTGACAGTATAAAAGTCAAAGATCCGATGAAAGTTGGTCGGTTTGGCCTCGGTTTCAAATCGGTGTTTCACATCACAGGTGAGATAACTATTATATATCTACCAGACCTCGACTGATCATATTGCCATTAATTAATAATGGCAACAAAAGTTGACGAAATTAATCGTTACTTGTTCCAAAGGTCGTTACTGTTCATTACTTTATTAACCAAAGCACAATTATATATTATTAACAGTCGGCATCAATGGGGTTCTTTTCTACGTACATTTCACCTATCGCCCACAAAGATGACAAGACTCTCTCAGTTTTACGACACTGGCTTTTGAGGAAAACCACCCGAACGAAGGCTTAGCATTCTGGCGGCACATTGAAAAAAAGAGTGGGGTGGGGGTGGGGGGGGGAGGCATTTTTTTACGGCCGATTGAAGGAATAAACCTTACCCCGTTTATTTCTCATTCACCTGAAACAGAAAAATGATTTGTTTTTCTAATCTTTTTTGGAGATAAAATTGCACTCGCATTCGTGAGTTTTTTAATGTGTTAAAATCATTAAAAAGTTTTAATCAATTATCAAATCAATGTAAGTTTTAATTATATAGCTGTTAGTTAATCCGATATTGTCAGCAAAGCTATTATCCTTCAGTGTTTACGAACTGTCCAATTAAGGATTAATTTGGATAGTTTCAGATGGGCTTTCCTTTACAAATAGGCAAACTGTTCAAGTTAAGAAAAATAGGACAGCTGGTCTGCGCCAGTCAAATGCCAGAAAATACAATAGGCAATGCAAACTAGCCAATCAGTGCAAAGTCCCTGTGACAACGCGCCAAAAAAAGTTTCGTTGGCTGACGGCGGTTTGTCGGCGAACTTGGCTTCTTGTTGCTATGAATGTCGTTTTGTTTCGCTGCTGTTTTGTTTTGGCTTCTTGTATGAGCCATTTAGAAGGAAAATGTATGACCACACTGATGAAAGTTTGTATTGGAAACAATCAACGCATAGATTCTTGAAAATGTAAAAGCACTGAAACTTTGGACAAGAATAAGAAAACACTTATACATGTGTTTAGATGTTGGCATTACAAAAACAAACGGACAAAGTCTGCGGAAATCGTTTGAGGTAATGAATGAACTGTTTATTTTCAATAGTTTTTGTATTTAAATTAAGTATTCGCGTAGTCGCTTTGTCTTTTTTGAACGCGAAATTGCGGTTTTCAGCTGTAGCACCGTATCATTCAGATCATGGAAGGAGTTTCGAAATTTTAATTGGCAACAAAATGCCAAAGTATGAAAGAGCAATACTACGTAGTTCTACGTTTGTTTACTTGTAAAGAATAAGTTGAACTTATCTGACACTATAAGAATAAACCTTTTTTAGATCTTGCAGTGCAATTTTGTTTCAACTACAACAGACAAACAGGTTCGAGTGTACAATATTTCGCGTCTGTGACACGCTAAAAAATCTGGATTAACTAACCAGCTATATAATATATTAATAAGTAAGAGGACTACATGCTTGTCCAATTTGGAAATAATTGAATTCAAAAAATTCCTCTGACAGCCAAATTGGTCTCGGCCTACTGCCTTGTCTAATTTTGGCTGTCCTCGGAATTTTTTTCATCCAATTATTTCCAAATTGGACAGCATGTAGTCCTATTACATATACAAATCCATAGGCGGCGAAGCAGGGGGAGGGGATTTCCATAGCCCCCACGAACAAGACTTTGTGGGGCATAGAACCCAACGTTTTGGTGCCGAAAATATTGCTGGTGCGGTAAAAAAAATTTCAACGTATTCAGCCTCGGATGTAAATCTCAAGAACCACCTAATAGACACCATGAAGCAGGACCGCCGGAACAACTGCCTACTGATGCATTGCCACAAATCGATTACGGACACACTAGACACTGTGAAGATTGCAAAGAGGTTTGCTTGTGCCAATGAAAAATGCAAAGTGCATTTTGAACAATTTGAGTAATGGTTCGCACATGGCTGAGTGAAGGATGGTAGATGGGCCTATACATGGGGGCGGGGGGAGGCGTATAAGTGGGGAGGTTACAATGAACATTTAAGGTGTGCTCTTTCGTGTGTTTGGTTTTCCCCCACCGTCTTGTAACACCCTGACATCTATATTCGTAGTATCTAACCTGGACGCCATCTTCGCCCTCAGATGAACAGAACGCTGCGCAGCAATTTTGTAATTTCACACGTGCAATCATAAATTCAGACCGAAATTTCGCGACAAAATTAAGAAGTAATTTTTTTCAGTCATGATATTATAGCCTTAACGTTTTATTTCATTTATTTTTTTCATTTTTAGATCTACCGAGTATATTAAGCGGTTCACAGATCGGTGTTATAGACCCACACGAGGAGTACTTTACCGAAGGGAGAAACCGACGAACAGGTTACAGCTGGAGAATGAAGAACGATCGTCACATTATGGAAAACATACCAGACCAATTTGCCCCTTATAAAGGAATATTTGAATGTACAGATGATGTTTTCTCCAGAGGCTGTTACAACGGTACTCTATTTCGCTTTCCATTACGACACCAACCCTCTGAACTTTCTCCGACTCTCTACTCCGCTGAAAAGGTGCACACATTATTTGAGGGATTTATGGCTGACGCACACTTGATCCTCCTTTTCTTGCAACATCTGGAATCTATCGAGCTGTACGTCCGTGAGGAACACGACAATCAACCAAGAAAGACGTTTCAAGTTCGAATCACAGATGAAAGCCTTCGTTTGGTACGAGAGAAGAGGAAGGAGTTTCACAACAGGATCCCTACCGACAGGCTTTTGCCCCATCCTGTCCAAGTAACCTATCCAATAAAGGTTGAGACTGTACACTTTTCTTATGGCTCAGAAACCACACAAAGTCATTCGTTTCTTGTAACCAACTACTTTTGTGGCGAGGAGATATCGTCTGACTTTCAAACCCTGGCTAAAGAGCAAAGCCTTAGCTACTTACCCTTAGTTGGTGTTGCCATGGCATTACCAGCAAGTCCCAGTGACCCTACTCCGGAGATTCAAGGCCACGTGTTTTGTTTTTTACCTTTACCAGTTCAAAAGACAAGCCTGACAGGTTTGCCTGTTCATGTGAATGGCTTCTTTGCCTTGAGTCAGAACAGACGTTATATCAAATCTCCAAACGCAGAACAGGAAGATCAGGAGCTAACTGACAAGTCCCTCCTATGGAACAGGTGTCTTTTGAAGGAAGCTCTACCCAAGGCATATGCAACGATGCTACTAGAAGCAATCAACGAGAAGAGTTACAATATACAAGAAGAGACCGTTTACAGGTAAGGCTAAAATGTGTTAGCCTCTATGAAATAAGATACTTTAGATACTTTATCGGCGCAAAAGGAAAAATAATTGCGAGAAGATAGTATTTCTTTAGCTAGTTCTTCCTGGAATGCCTCATTCTCACGCAAAGTACGACTAAGCACTTGGAATATAGAGGACATTGTTTTATTACCTCTGCCCTTACATTCTAATTTTTAGAATGTAAGACCTTTTTTGGCCGCCCATGCAGCTAAAAAGGTTGGTTCACGTTCAACACGCCATGGAATTCAGGGATGGACCAGGTTTCGATCACAGCGGTGCGATATCAGCAAAACCTGTTGCTGTCAATATTGACATATGGTCTTAGGTAACTAAATGTTGCATTAACTAATTGCAGTTCCCGAATGTTGTATTCTGTAGGGCTTGGCCTAATATCGACGCCATCGACCAGAAATGGAAGACATTGCAGAATCCCTTACTGGAGATCTTATGCTCTGCAAATGTCGTATACACTAAAGCTAATGGAGGAAGGTGGCTGAAAGTGGAAGACGCTGTCTTAGACAGACTTGATGAACATCAGCCGAAGGATTTGCTCGTCAGCGTGTTGCTTGAAGGACATCAAAATGTGGCCACCTTGCCTGACTACGTGTTAAAGGCTTTTACCGCGGTCAGCAATAAACCATTTATCAAAGAGATTACTCCCATGTTGGTGAGGCAAATCCTCAAGGAAAATCTTTCAAGCTACAGGAACCATGGGAGAATGGAGAAGTTGAAACTTCTAGCGTTCATCCTAAACTGTATAGACGAGAACTTCGCAGACCTAGTTGGACTGGAGCTGCTGCCCGTATCCAGTGGTGCCTTCAAATGCTTTTCATCCCCCTCAAACTGTGACGAAGCAATTTATGTCTGCTCACCCGATCATCCAAGGAAAATGTTTCCTTGTCTAGACCATCAGTTCCTGGATCAAAACCTGGACCAAAATCTTTTGGAAATGATGGAGAAAGCTGCAAGGAAAGGTATGAACAATACGAGAATGTTGTGAAATTTGTCTACAGCTGATTCAAAGCTTCCGCCAACAAGATAATCTTTAAGTTATTCTACTATTCTGGGACTGAAAATTATATTTCTCTCTCCCCCACTGATCAGTGCTGTGAGGAATAGTCTTGCTGTTACAATGTTTCGTGAAAAATAACCAAAAAATTTCATTTTCACATACCCAGCATCTAATCCTTCCTTTTTTGTATTGAGATAGTCCCAAGAACACAGTACATTTTTGTAATGAAATTAAGGTAATGGTAAAAAAGGTAAAGGCGCCCACGAGCCAAAGGATACAACGCGACGAGCGAGGCTTAAGGAATAGGGAATAGAAAGAAAGACTATAACAGCCGGTGGGTGACAGTGTTAATTTCAGGTCAGGAATTCTATTCTTTTAAATAACGTTGTTATCGAATTCAGAGACACATGCATTTTTTGTACTTTCACGAACTCTAGGCGAGCTGTGATTGCCTATGATCTACCGTGTAAACATCCAAAGCTGACATCACGGAAAAACTCCGTTATTGTTTTCCTAACATGGTGCCAGTTTTGGAAACGGCACGAGGCTTGTTTGTTACTTCATGTTCGTACCATATAGTTTGAAATCATTTTTTGATCTATAACGGTGCAGCACGGTTAAGTTGTATCTACTTGTTAAGCACAGTCTTTCTTGATGATAGAGGTACCTAATACTTAATACCCTGAAGGGCGCCGTAAAGAGCGGTTTTCGGGGGCAATTTTATAGCCCGATAAGAACGGCAATTTTTTTTCACGATCTTCTGCTATTTTAATAACGAAAAGGATATTCTTTAGCAGCATTAACAACAATAAACTTACACTCACTGCGTGTAAACAGATATGTTGGATTAATCTTGTCCTGGGACCATTGCCGCGTTGAAATCGCCTTTGCATCTTAAGGGGCATTTTAGACATGCGCTGCACTGTTCGAACCGTTCAAAATGTGACGTGCATTTTAAGTGGGGACTGAAGTAAGATTACATTATTTTCTTTACTGTTTAAATAGGATGCACACAGTTAAAGCTTCTTTGTAAAGAAGACATGGCCTCCCTTCTCTCAAATTCGTTGCCACCAGGGTGGTCACAAGGAAAAACAATATTGTGGTATCATGGATCGGATTCCTGCAACCATCCAGGATTAGACTGGCTTGAACTCGTGTGGAATTACTTACGCGTGAACTTCGCCACGAACGATGAGCTCCGCGGGTTCACAGGTCTCCCCTTGATTCCACATGACATGTCACAAGAACCAATCAGCCTTGCTAGACTTCAACAGCCTTCTAAGATAGTTTTGAAAAGTCTCTACGATGAGTCTTTCGATGAAACGCTGATTCAGTCCTTGAAAGACCTTGGTCTAGTTATCATTCAAGAGTGTCCGTCTTACCTAACCCTTCACCCCGCGGTCATCAATGCATTTATTTACCCGCCATCACCACATGGTGTCTTAAAGGCGCTGTCGGCTTGCTCATCGGTTGTAGAATCTAACAAGCATTCACTGACAGACGAAGGCAAACGCTCCTTAAGGAAGTTCTTTTCAAAAGAATCGACGCTAGAACCCCAAGCAAAGCAGCTTCTCCGTACCCTTCCAGTGTTTGAGACGCTAAACAAATCTTTTGTTTCTGCGGAGGAGGATGTTTGTGCAGCACCACCAGAAGATTCTTATCCGGTAGCTCCTCGTAGGGTTCTCATTGACGTCACACACGATGACTCAAAGAGGTTGGCACATCTGCTAGACATCAGATGCCTATCACCAATAGAATTTTTTCTTGAAATTGTATTTCCAGATGTCAGAGGAGGAAATTATTCTAACGGAGAGATCGACAGGATTATGGGATTCGTTATGGAGCGGTTTCAAGTTTATGCCAGTGAAGATGCTCGATTTGAAGAAGTGCTTACAAATTTGCCATTTGTACCGAGTGAAAATAGACGGGAAAGAGCTATGGACCTGTTCGATCCCGGGGTTGAGCTGTTGAAACGAATGCTGGCCGAAGAAGATGTTTTTCCAGTTGGTGAACAGTATACGAACCCCACAGCCCTCGTGGTTCTTAAGAAACTTGGTTTGAAGAGTGAAAAGGAAATTAGTGCAGACGATCTGTACCGCAGTGCCAGAAAGATCTCTCAAATGCCAAATTTGGAGGAAGCAAAGCGAAAATCGGCAACTGTATTGTCATATTTAGACAGTTATTCAACGAAGCTTCAACAAACTGTCTCAGGGGTAACGTTGACACAACTTCTGCGAGACGTTCCATGGGTATCCGAAGTGAACGAAAGGCCCTTCGGTGTTCCTGTTAACCTTTACTCAACTGAAGAAACTAGCAAAGCCCACTTTTACAAACCCACGGAAGTGACAAGTGAAGATAAAGTTAATCTCATTGGAACAGTGAAGCCTATTGTAAGAGTAGATTCTTCAAGTCAATTAGCAAAATGTTTCGGCTGGGATAAGATGCCGGATGCATTGGACGTGGTGCAACATCTGAGAACCGTGGTCACTCACTACACCCAGGATAAAAAGCCATATTACATTTCAGTTGTCAACGACATCTACTCATTTCTAGATCAGACCGCCAATATTGAAGTTATCAAGGAAGCTTTGCAAGGAATTGAAAACTCGATCTGGATTTGGAATGGAGATGGTTTTTCTTCTCCTGATGTTGTCCTTGCCTCAAGGCCTCCAATTGATCTTACTCCGTACATTTGTTCTCTTCCCTCAGAGGTGCTGCAGTTTTCAAACCTTTTTTCGAGGTTCGGAATGAGAGAGCACTGTGATGCTCTGCTTTTTGTACAGGTTCTTCAACTAATAAAACAGAAGTATGAATCTGGACACGAGTATCCAAGCACTGAGGTAAAAAGAGATCTCCAGTTATCTACAGACATTTTGAATGAGATTAAGCCAAACGTTGGACAACAACTACCTTCTGAGATTCAAGAGAAAGTCCTCATCCCAACACACGTAGAAGGAGATTCTTACGTAAGGCTTGCACCAATTAAAGATTGCATGTACTGTGACCACGAGTGGCTAGAAGATGGCATACCTGTTGAAGAAGAAAATCAATGCTTTTTTGTGCATCAAAACATCTCAAATAGTACTGCGGAACTTTTTCAAGTTCGTACTCTTAGAAATCAATTATTGGAAGCTGATGAGATAGGAGATGAGTTTGGTCAAGAAGAAAAACTTACTCGCAGATTAAACAAAATTCTCGAGGAATACACAGATGGTTTTTCAGTACCAAAGGAATTAATCCAGAACGCAGATGATGCTGGTGCCACTGAGGTCAGATTTCTTTACGATCAAAGAACCAACGAAGATGCTATGACCTGTCTGATTGACGAGGGAATGAAAGAATGTCAAGGTCCTGCCTTGTGGGTTTACAACAACGCTGAGTTTAGGGATGACGATTTTGAAAATATTACTAAACTCAACGGTGGTACAAAAAGACAAGAAACCGAGAAGATTGGAAAGTTTGGGCTTGGTTTTAATACGGTCTATAATCTGACGGACGTTCCTATGTTCCTAAGCAGAAACTACTTTGTGATTTTTGATCCCAACACCTTTTATCTTGGAAAAGCCATCACAAACAAGAGGAAACCAGGAATAAAAATCGACGTCAACAAGAATCCGGAGAGAAAACGAAGGCTTAGGAACCAATTTAAACCTTTCAATGGCATCTTTGGGTGTGATCTTCTTCTGAACAAAAACGACAACTCATTTCAAGGTACTCTCTTTCGCTTCCCATTGAGAACTAAGAGGCAAGCTGTCAGAAGTGAAATTAAGCAAGATTATTACGGCCACAACCAAATGAGGGAGCTATTAGAGATTTTCGTACGCGGGGCGAAAACGTTGCTCTTGTTTACGCAAAATGTCCGTCAAGTCAGCATATTTCATTTGCCAAGAGACTCAACAGAGCTGACACAACCCAAACTGATGTTTCAGGTAACCAAGGCATTATCACACTCAGGAATCATGAGAGAGTTGTCTGTTCCCATGAAGCTGCCATTACATCAGAGCAATGTTAGCACAGACGACTTACACCTTTTAAAACAATGTAACTTTCTACGAGCATCATCGCAAGTTTTAAAGCATAATGAGGATATGAAGGAAACCAATGACTATTTGCTGAGGTCGGCGATCACAATTAACATAAAAGCCACCCTAACTGAATGCGGACGCTTGTTCTTTGAGGACAAAATCTCACTGCATAATTCATCCGAGGTTTGGTTTGTTGCCTCGTCGATGGGCAAAGGCCAAGCGATGCAGTTTTCAATGAATGACAGGAGCTTGCTCCCAGCAGCTGCAGTAGCGGTCAAGTTGTTACCTCAGGAGAGTGAGAAGTTTGTACCAGAACCTGTTGTCAGTCACGCCGCTGGAGGTAAATTGCATCATAACGGTTCAGTGTTCTGCTACCTTCCACTCCCAATTCACAGTGGTCTCCCTGTGCATATAAATGGAACATTTGCAGTAGCTTCGAACAGACGCCATTTGAAGCAGAAAACAGAGGACGACAAAGCCTGCGCTGAAGTTGAGTGGAATAATGTTCTGCTTAAAGATTCTGTCTGTTCCGCCTACCTGGACCTTCTGGAAGACATAAAAAGTACTGCTACTACGTACTGTTTTCACTCTCTGTGGCCCAGGGCGTGCGACATAGAACCATATTTTGAACCACTTGCGCGTTCCTTCTATCAGAAAGTTGCTAGTGGAGGCTATTCCCTTTTCTCAGATGGAGACACTTGGGTGGGCATCAATCAAGTTGTCTTTCTGGAGCCATACTTTCGTCGTGATCAACGGGTTGGAGACATATCAGTTGCAGTATTACAAAAGATGGTCACTGAACAAGAAGTTGTCGTTGATCTCCCAGCAGAAATTGTACAGTCATTCATTGACTATGGTCTTGGGGAGAAAATCCAGTTGAAAGCCTATGACAGAAGTAGGTTTTTCCGTGAACTGTTTTTCCCAAACATTGGCTCCGTACCGGCAGACAAACGAGATGAATTGATCTTATTTGCATTGGATGATTCAAATGGAGAATTCGATGAATTAATAAAATCCTATGCTTGCATTCCGGCTTCACCCAATGGTAAAATCCTTAAACGCCCAATGGACCTTGTTCACCCAAACAAATCAACAGCCTCGCTATTTCATAGCGAAGATGAGAGGTTTCCGTTTGGAACTATTGAGACCTTCTTAGATTCTGTAAGACTTGCTAAACTTGAACAACTTGGTATGAAGACTGAAAAGGGAATCACTGCAGATGATCTCTACCACAGTGCCAACAATATTCCTCGAATGGTAAAGTCTTCGGAAGCAAAGCAGAAATCAGAGAATATTATGACGTTCTTAGACAGCAATCCGATGATTCTTCAACAAAATGTTTCAGGGGAACCGTTAGCACTACTTCTGCGAGATATCCCTTGGATATCTGTAATGGAGGAAACGCCCTTTTGTTTACCTAAAAGTCTTTATTCACTTGTACAAGATCGTGAAGTCCCGTTCTACAAGCCCACAGAGGTCACAAGTAAAGATAAAGTTAATCTCGTTGGAACAGTGAAGCCCATTGTAAGAGTAGATTCATCGAGTCACTTAGCAAAATGTTTCGGCTGGGATAAGATGCCAGATGCATTGGACGTGGTGCAACATTTGAAAACCGTGGTCAGTCACTATACCCCGGACGAGAAGCAATATTACATTTCAATTGTCAAGGACATCTACTCATTTCTAGATCAGGCTGCCGATCCTGAAGCCATCGAAGGTGCTTTGGAGGGAATTAAAAACTCGAACTGGATTTGGAATGGGGATGGTTTTTCGTCTCCCGATGCTGTTCTTGCTGAAAGGCCTCCAATTGATCTCACTCCGTTCATCTGTTCACTCCCCTCAGAGGTGGTGCAGTTCTCAAACTTGTTCTCAAAGTTTGGCATGAGTAGCCACTGCGATGCGCTATTTTTGGTGCAGATTCTTCATGTCATCAAAAAGAAGTATGAATCCGGACTGAGGTATCCAACCTCGGACGTAAAAAGAGATCTGCAGTTATGCGCAGATATCTTGAATGAGATCAAGCCAGACGTTGGTAAACAACTAGCCTTAGAGATTCAAGAGAAAGTCCTCATCCCAACACACGTAGAAGGAGATTCTTACGTAAGGCTTGCACCAGTTAAAGATTGCATGTACTGTGACCACGAGTGGCTAGAAGATAGCACGCCTGTTGATGAAGAAAGATATTTTTTCGTGCATCCAAACATTCCAAATAGCACAGCCGAGCTTTTACAGGTTCGCACACTTAGAAATCAACTGCTGGAAGCTGATGAGATAGGAGATGAATTTGGTCAGGAAGAAAAACTAACTTGCAGATTAAACAGACTTCTAGAGGAATACACAGATGGTTTTTCAGTACCAAAGGAGTTAATTCAGAACGCAGATGATGCTGGTGCCACTGAGGTCAGATTTCTTTACGACGAAAGAGCCAACGAAGATGCTATGACCTGTCTGATTGACGAGGGAATGAAAGAATGTCAAGGTCCTGCCTTGTGGGTTTACAACGACGCTGAGTTTAAAGACGAGGATTTTCGAAACATTACCAAACTCAATGGCAGCTCAAAAGAACAAGAAAACGAAAAAATTGGAAAGTTTGGGCTTGGTTTTAATACGGTCTACAATTTGACAGACGTCCCTATGTTCCTAAGCAGAAACTACTTTGTGATTTTTGATCCCAACACCTTTTATCTTGGAAAAGCCATCAAAAACAAGAGGAAACCAGGAATAAAAATCGACGTCAACAAGAACCCGGAGAGAAAGCGACGGTTTCGGAACCAATTTAAACCTTTTAATGGTATCTTTGGTTGCGATCTTCGAATGAACAAAGCTGAGAACTCCTTCCCAGGAACCCTTTTTCGATTTCCTTTGAGAACCAAAGCACAAGCCGTAAGAAGTGAAATTAAACAAGTCCATTACGACAACAACCAAATGAAAGAGCTGTTAGAGATATTTGTACGCGGGGCGAAAAAGTTGCTTTTATTCACGCAAAATGTCCGTCGAGTCAGCATTTTTCATCTTCTTGGAGAGTCTTCGGAAGCGATGCAGCCTACACTTATGTTTCAGGTGACGAAGTCACTATCACAAACGGGCATCTGTAGGGAATTGTCCTTTCCCTTAACACTTCCATCACATCTTGGAAATCTTTCCAAAGACGAACAGTACCTCTTAAAACAAAGCAACTTTCTACGAGCTTCATCGGAAGTGGCGAAGCATGCTGGGGATTGCAAGGCAACCAGAAATTATTTGTTAAGGTCAGCGTTTACTTTTAACATTACAAGCAACGTTACCGAATGCGGACGCTGTTTCTTTGAGGATAAGAGCCCACTAGAAAGTATAGCCGAGGTCTGGTTTATTGCTTCGTCAATGGGCAAAGGCCAAGCGATGCAATATTCGCTAAATGACAGGAGCCTGCTCCCAGCAGCTGCAGTAGCTGTTCAGTTGATAACCCAGGAGAATGAGAAGTTCGCACCAAAACCTGTTGTCCGCCATGCCACTGGAGGCAAATCACATCACAACGGAACAGTTTTCTGCTACCTTCCACTTCCAATACACAGTGGTCTCCCTGTGCATATAAATGGAGCATTCGCAGTAGCTTCGAACAGACGCGACTTGAAGCAGAAAACAGAGGATGACAAAGCCTGTGTTGGAGTAGAGTGGAACGACGTTTTATTTACAGATTCTGTTTGTGAAGCTTATCTAGACCTCCTTGAAGACATGAAGTCAAGAGCTACTATGTACCCTTTTCACACACTGTGGCCCAGGGAGTGCGACATGGAGCCACGCTGTGAACCACTCGTGCGCTCATTCTATCGGCAAGTTGCCACTGGAGGTTATTCCCTCTTTTCAGATGGAAACAGATGGGTTGACATTAGTCAAGTGGTCTGTCTAGATCCATACTTTCGTCAGGATAAAGATGTTGGAGGCATATCATATACTGTATTACAGATGTTAGTCAGCAAAGACAAGGTTGTCATTGATCTCCCTGTGGATATTTTCCAATCATTTGCTAAGTATGGTCTAGAGGAACACATCCGGTTGAAAACCTACGATAAGGGCAGATTTCTTCGTGAGCTGTTTTTCCCAAACATCCTGTCCATACCACAAGACATGCGAGATAAATTGGTCTTGAACGCTTTGGATGATACCAAAGGACAATTTGATGAACTTATTGCAACTCATGCTTGCATTCCAGCTTCACCTGGTGGTAAAACGCTTAAGTGCCCCGCCGAACTTATACACCCGAAAAAAGCAACGGCCTCGCTATTTCAGATTGAAGATGAAAAGTTTCCCTTTGGCACTGATGACACATTTCTAGATTGCGTAAGACTTACCAAACTCGAGCAACTTGGAATGGTAGCAGATGACCCCCCTTGGGGTATGTTTGAAGAAAGGGCAAAAAGTGTCGGCATTTTGAATGAAGAAAGCAGTAAAGGGGCCTTAGAGCGTGCAAAGGCATTAATAAGTCTTCTAGAAAGAAAGCTATACCCTGGAGCTGAAAGCAACGTCCCCGAGGGTGTCCAAGAGAATCTTTTGCAAATCAAATTTCTTCCAGTTTTCACGAAACCAGAACATTTTCCCCTTTTTTGGAAAGGAGGCGATCTACGTCCCGAGAAAAGAGCAAAATTGTTGTCACCCGAGGAGGCATTTGTTGAAAGCGCGATGTATCTTGTTTGCTGTTCTGAGCCGCTTGTAGATGGTAACATCTATATTTCTTTATCTGTTAAAAAGTTCTTGCAGCTGGACAAAAAAGCCACAATTAAGCATATTATCGCCCAACTTGATATGGCTTCGTGTGTAAACGACGATCTGAATTCAGTGCAATTTGAACAAGTGAAGACCACCTTTGTAGAAGCTTACAAGTACCTTCAGGCAGCCTTGAATGAGAATCAAATCGACGAAAATGAAGTGCGAGGAATATTTGAAGGAAAAAAATTCATTCTAGCCGGAAGAGAGTTTGTTGATACAAGGCATGTCGCTTTTGAATTGCCCGTTGACTGTTGCCCTTACCTACATAAGCTGCCTGAGGATCTTGCGAAACAGTTTGGCAATTTGATGAGAAGCGTTGGTGTAAAACAGGTATATGAGGCCGGCGATTTCCTCTCTTCCTTGGAACAAATAAAAAGGGCCTTTGGGGACGCAGTACTTGAAAAGAAAATTCTCCAAGCTGCCGTTCATCTGGCTTGTCAACTGGGTAAGTGCCTCACAGATTGTTGTGTATCTGATGGAAAGCAACAAACAATTTATTTACCTGACTCCCAAGGCATAATGAGACCTGTGAGTAAGCTGTGCATTAAAGACTGCCACTGGATTTCTGATGAAAAAGATGTTTACTATGCAGAGAGCATGATTCCTCACCAAATATGCCTTAAGTTGGGGGTAAAAACACGCCGAGCAGAAGCATTAAGCCGCTTTGCGGTTGGAATTCCGTTTGGACAAAAGGAAAAGCTGACAAACCGTTTACGGCGACTTCTTCAAGCCTACCCATGTGAAAAAGAAATTTTGAAAGAACTTCTTCAGAATGCTGATGATGCAGAGGCAACAGAGATTTGTTTTATTAAAGACCCAAGACAACATCCAGTTGAACGTGTTTTTGAAGAGTCATGGAAACCACTTCAGGGTCCTGCATTATGCGTGTACAATAACAAGCCATTCACTGAAGTGGATATTAAAGGAATACAGAATCTTGGAGAGGGAAGCAAAGGCGATGACCCTAACAAAACTGGCCAGTACGGTGTGGGTTTCAACGCTGTATACCATTTGACAGATGCACCTTCATTTGCCTCATGTGGCGACGAAATTGGGGACGTTTTATGTGTTTTCGATCCAAATTGCAAGTACGTGCCAGGAGCTACCAAGTGGGAACCGGGCAGAATGTTCAGCGAAACAACAAAGTTGAAAGGTGATTTTGTAGATGTTTTTTCTTGCTATAACGAGGATCATTTTTCCTTGCGAAACGCTACTATGTTTCGATTTCCATTACGAACTGAGGAGATGGCAAAAGATTCCGAGATATCTAATTCTCCTGTTACACTGGAAACGCTACAAGGGATGATGGAGTCATTGAAAACAGAGCTGTTTGAAGTCCTTCTGTTCGTTAACAGTGTCAAAAAGATTACAATGTGTGACATCGACGAGAGTGGGCAAGTGGTGAACTCCTATGTAGTCAGAGCGGAAATGTCAGAAGAAGACTCATTGGAAAGGCAGACTTTTGCCTCCTACGTGAAACAAATTGGAAGGTCATTTAAGCAAAATCCTGAAAAGTCACCCATTCAAGCGGAGGTTAGGAAATGTTCCTACATTCTGACCTTAAAAGACAGCATGGAGAACGAAGAAAAATGGCTAATTGTCCAGCAGATTGGGTTTGAGAACCACGTGACAGAAAGCATTATCGATGCCTACAAGAATAACGACTTAGGGATGCTTCCTCGTGGTGGTGTTGCTTGCCTTTTAGAGCGTAAGCCAGCTTTAGCACAAAGGACAGAAGAAAAGAAGAAAGCGTACTGTTTTCTTCCGCTTCCTGTAGAAACAGACCTCCCATTGCACATCAATGGTCATTTCGCATTGGATCACGAGGCACGACGAAGCTTAGACTCAACTGGTGGCTATAAAACTGACTGGAACAACTTCTTATTGAGCGACGTCATAGCCTCGTGCTATCTCACTCTTCTGGACAAAGTAAGACGTTTCTTTAATTTGCCCGTTTCTCAGAGTCCCGAAGAAGTTAGCGTCAGCTTTTGCAGAGACGAATTGACAAAAAATATAAAAAAGTACGAAAAGCTGTTTCCGTGTGCGATCTCAAGCAACCAGTATTGGGCCACTTTGGTAAAGTCTGTGTACCAGGGAATGAACTACAAGAGGTTGCGACTTGCTCCAGTGTTGCGCGGGTACGCGACAAGTGGCGCTACTTCCAATTGTCAGCTCTTGTGGCTTCCTCTAACTGGAAATGGGGCAGATAAAGTATTCTTCAACAATCTCGGTGATTGCGATTGTTTTCGTCATGAATCAAAAGAACGTTTAAATGAACACGAGAAGAAATCAAAGATCGATGAGAAAACCCGCTTTGAAAACATTTTACTTCAAACTGGGTTTAACCTTGCAGCATTTTCTCTGTCCATTTGTGACGCGGCACATAAGTCTGGAGTCCAATCATGCTTTGTCTCTCCTTCGGCGGTGATGGACTTTTACAAATCTTTCAGTGGAGAAATTCCTCTTTGCAGAATTGGATCACTCTTTGTTGATGTCAGCTATACACCTTTCAAAGACGTGCAAACTGTTGTCACAGTGCTTAAATACTGCAAGGAAAGTGAAAGCTTTCTAGGAAATTTGCCAGGCCTGCCTTTACTCGTAACGCAAGACAACCATTTACAACCATTTAACGCTGCTAATCGCAAGTTTCTTTCTCGCCATCACCACCTTCTTCCACAGTGCAAAGAAATGTTTGTTCATGATCATATTAGGACGCATATCTTTGGTGATGCCAAGAGTCTGGAGGTCTCAGTGTTCAAACATTTTGATGTCCAGAGTTTTGCGGCTAATTTGCATCAAGCACTTCGTCAAGATAATTTGAACAGTAGCCAGTTCTTAAAATGGAACCCAGATCAGGTTGCAGAGCCCAATGGTGGCTGGGTTTACCGTGTATGGAAGTTCCTGGACGAACAAGTAGAGAGTGTCCTCAGAGAAGAAAGAAAGAGAGAAACGGAGACGGCGAACCGCACTCAGGCAACTCCTACACCAACCATTCAAGTGAAGGAGACGCGAATCACTCGAACAGTGCTTGAACCTCTGAGCAATTGCAGCATCCTCCCTTGCACAGAAACGATCCCTTTGCCAAAACCAAGTCAAGGTAACGCCTCTGGAGTAGTAGCGGAGCACTATTTAGTACCTTTAAGCCTGGCTGATTCTGTCCTTGATTTCACCTCCTGTGATACTACAAGTAAACGTCTTGTTGAGGCATTAAGAAAGCTCAGTGTTCCTGAATTGAACACTGTTGTTTTGTCGTCAACAGTTTCTTCTGCGTACACGTCTTTAAGCTCCTGTAGACTGGCACATCAGTTAGTTGCAACGATTAATTCACCCAAACTTCTTCTGTTAGCACTATGTCAGAAGATAGCTCGAAACACGAGCTCACTTCACGGGAAGTTAAGCAGTATCGAATGTCGTACCATTTTGGAGCATTTCAGCAACAGCGTGAAAGACCTGGACGAAGGTGACATACTAGCGTTAAGAAAACTTCCCCTTTATGAAGCAACGCATGGGGGACAAGTGAGCCTAGATAACAAAAGCGTCTGTGTGGTTCCTGTTGAAGTACCTCATGACGGAATGGAAGTTTTGGAAAGTGTGGGTGATTTCATCTTTCTGAAAAGCTGGTCGCGTCTTTCGGCGCTTTATGAATTTATGAAGTTTGAATCTGTTTCATCGATTGATATCTATTGCAAATTCATTTTGAAATATTTTAGTCTATTTCCCGGTAAAGCAAGGCTAGTTCATCTTAAGCACATCCGTGACGGTATGTTGACACAAACATTTGCTAAGGAGTTTGACAAGCAGCGACTATTGTCTTGCCTGGAAAACGCTGAAATCATTCCTTCTAGCAGAGGCAACCTAGTAAAGGCATCGTCGTTTTATGACCCCGAACATGAAGTGTTCAAATGCATGCTTTCAGATGACATGTTTCCACCAGAGCCTTTTAACGCCAGGGAATGGTTGCCGTTTTTAAAGACTATTGGATTGATTCACGAAGTTTCTCAAGATCTCTTCAAGACGTTTGCTCTGAAAATCGCACACGAAGGCAATACACAACCCACTAAGGAAACTGAGGATAAATCAAAAGTTCTCGTTGTACACCTGTTAAGAAGAAATAAAGTTGTAGACGAAGGCCTGCTTCAAGCTATTCGTGATATTCGGTTTGTCCCTTCAGCGCCTGTCAAGCAAAACCTCCAAGCAATACATCGACCGTATTGTAAACGAGATGACGGTAAGGCAACGTATATTTCCTTTAGAGGTTCTGTACTAGCAAAGCATGCAGAAATAGTTTGGACAACAGCTGGTCTTCTTCCTCAGTGGGCAAATCCGAAGGAATATCAGTATCTGATGCATGCACCTGACTGGAGGAATTCAGAACATTACTGCAACGCGATAACGGCACAGCTAGGCATTTTAGCGGAGCCAACAGTTGAGCTTGTTACATCCCATTGCCAAAATGTGTCGTTCCAACTAGAAAAAGAAAACGACTTAGATTTAACTGACGAGCAGATTATGAGAAGAATGAAAATCATGTTAAAGATCTACAGATTTTTGGAAGTTAAGGCTACCTCAGATTCTTTCGCGAGAGACCAACTGAAGCACACGCCGTGCATTGTAGTTGAAGAAGGCAGACGTCTCGTTAGAGTTGAACAAGTGGTCATTGAATTGAACAGGGAATTTGAGATTCAGCCATTCCTCTATGGGTTACCTGCGGAGCTAGTTCAGCGTAAGGGCTTGTTTCAGTATTTGGGCTGTGCCTCTGTAGCAAAGGTCTCTCATTTCGCTATGGTCTTAGATATGCTTCAAGAGAAATGCAGGGCCAAACCTCTAGATCCAAATGAGAAAATCTGCGCTTTAACAGCTGAAAGAGGCATTTTTGAAACATTACAAGATCCCGTGGATGGTGATCACAGTTTCTCCTCACTTAACCTGCCAGCTACACGTCCATTAATTAAAAAAGATGAGGGACCTTCTCTGCCTGTCCTGTTGCCGAAATCAAATGAGATTCTATTTGATGATGCCCCTTTTTACCATGAACGCATTAAAAAGTTTGAACAGCTCTTCCTGGTTGACCTTTCATGGGCCAATGTCCGTTGTAAAAAGGGCTTCAATTACAAGGATCTTATCATGCTGCTTCCCCCAGCAGTGCGTCCTGGAATGTTGTCCTCTGCTGTCATTGAGAAATTCACTGATTCCTCTGAAAGGGGCGAGAGCTTTGATCTTGGTGCAGCGGGTTTGCTAAAAAGGTCAGTTCACTCACCACAATTCTGTCGTGGTATCATCAGACTTATTCGTCACACAAGCCGCGAGAACCAGGAAAAGGTAGATGAGAGTGTCGTTGCTACCATAAAAAACAGATTGCAAACTATCGAGATTCATGGAATGAGTAAAATTGTTACTCAGCTACTCTACAAAGGAACCACTATTCCAGGAAGCGAGATGGAAAGGCAATACTTTTTGGAAAAGGTTAGCAAGTCCAGTGAAGAAATTTGGAATGTATATGTCAATGCTGTAGACGACGCACAAAAAACGTCATCTGCAATAGCTCTGACTTTGGCCAAGGTGATATCAGAAGCATGTAAGGGACTCCTGAGAGACGCGGCTCTGTACATTCCCACGATGTTGCAAAGCCAACCAGAAGAGATTTCCTCTTTTCTGGATATGATGAAGATACATCAAGATGATTCCTATGATGGAGAGAAAGGACAGATCTTACCACAGCCAGGTAGTTACATTCCAATTGCCGAACAACACCTTCTCAATGCATCCTTTTCGTATTTCAAACCTGGTGAATATGTTGGATACGAAGTTGACGATCCAAGTCTACAACTTAAAGATGGAGATGCAACTTACATTTATGCTGTTATAATCGAGGAAGTTTCAAATCCCAACACCAGTCTCATTACAAAGTCGTACAAGATCAACATTGGAAACGACAAACCACCGAAGATTGTTCCAGCAACTGAGCTCTACAAATTTTACCGTCTTCAGGAGATAGCATCGGCTGCACTCGTTCCATCATTTAATCAAGGGACAAACATGGATAGAAAACATGAAATATTGAAAGAGATCACAAAAACACTAGAAGAGGCTTGGAGACTACCAGAAGACAGAAGAAGACAAGTTGTCAAGCGACTATTTTTCTTTTGGCACCCTGACAAAAACCCAGGAAATGAGGAATTCTGTACCGAGGTTTTCCAGCACATAAAGAACGAAATTGAACGTTTGGAGAGGGAAGGCTGGGGTAGAAGTGAACGCGAAAGAAGCGAGAGTTACCATTACGGTGGTTCATATGGTGCTTTCTTTGGTTTTTGGGAGACACGTGCAAGAGAGTATAGTTCTCGCCGCCGAGACTACCAAGAAACATACCATCGACATTATGGGACATGGGGACACGGAACGCGAACCTGGGAAGTTCCTCCTAGCTTCTGTGAAACGAATCCTCAACCAGGACAGGCGAGGCGCTGGTTTAGACAAGCTGAAGCTGACCTCAACGCCGTTGTGAACGACGTTCATACTGGTAATGCTTCTTACGAATGGGCCTGCTTTAAGTGCCATCAGGTATGAATTGAAGTATTTACTCTTTGGCGTACAGGTGATTTTATTAGCAATAAAAGTCTGTTTCTTTCATTTTTCCCCTGTCAATGTTAGCGTGGAAGGCTGATTGTTATGTGTTTATAGGCCGCAGAAAAAGCGCTAAAGGCTGCACAGTACGCGACAGATGCCTTTAAGACCAAAGTTCATAACCTCGTCCAGAACTCCTTGATGCTAGACGACTCTCGACTGGTAACTGTTTCAAGTCAGCTTGAGGAATGTGTAGGTGATTCAACGCGCATGCGCTACCCTGATCGGCTGGACTATCCAAAAATTCCAAACGATGTTTACACAGAAGAAGACGCCCATCAGGCATTGGAGGCAGCGACGGAGATTCTACAAATTGTTAGGAGCAGAGTGTCGTAAGGTAATCGTCAGTTAACCAAGCTAATGTTTAAAGTAATCACTGAGCTGCTGAAAACAACAAATATCACATTTTGTGAAAACGTTACATATGAACTAGTTTAGTAGCATAAGCTATTTCTTTTAAGAAGGGTTTTAGAGCTTTTTAGCTGTTGTTCCTAAACGGAGTAGGGACTTCCAAGACTTAAACATCTGTTGAATGACTCTCACAATCCACCAGGTATATCATGGACACTGATTTGCGCATAAGAAAATAAATCCTCTTTGTTTGTTTTACATCAGGATTGATTTCGTCCAACATTGTCCTTACAACGGAGACGATCAGCAGAAGCAAGCTTTTCAAGATGCGTTACAGACGTCTTGCAGGAAAAGAGCCATAACAAGATGTCAATCTATACGCTTTTTACGTAAACATTTTAGTAACAGCTAAGGTTAATTAGACATTAGATGGGAGATGTTACGCATTGGTCCTTGGAGCAATATCTTGCGTATAGTGATTAGTTGATATCATGACGATGGGACACTGAAAATAGCCACTAACCTTTCATTGCGTATAACCCAAATGAAGCTGTTTTCACACTCCTTTTATCCCGAGAAGGGTTTATTTGTAGTTTATTGTA